AACTTTCACAATAATTTAGCTTTCCATATAATATTTGATACACTAGCATTACCTTAAAAATATTAAAGCCAATACATTGTACGGGCATACCACTAGTATACAAAATAAATTTAAACAATGGACACACAAGTGAACCAGCACCACACAGTGGACATCAAAGTCGCACAAATAGAAATATATATTCTGTTTATAGACAAGAAATGAAGATTAATCGGTGAATAAGTACCTTAGATAGAGTAATAATTCTCATCTTCTCTTGTTCGGAATATTACTTATAAGTACTTCATAACCGCAAGTTATAAGAATCTGCGGATAAATCAAATATGGCTTTCACTTTTCTGTTTTGATTTGTTTAAAAATATTGATCGCCAGATGTAAGAAAAGAATCTATTCTACATTAATTGGAAAAACGACATAATTAATTAACGGCTTTATATAATTATTCTTTAGCATGTATATAAAGGGTCTTGCAGCCGTTTGAAACTACTCTCATTTCCATGGCCAGAGCTGGGATTATGAAGACCAAGTCATTGTTCCTTGTTAGGTTAATTATCCTCTGTTTATATAATTTTGTTGCTTATAATTTATTTTCAAGTTACTTTTTCTTAAATAGTCAAGTCCAATCGTTAATAATAATTAAAGGTGAAAAGAAAAGGGGATGAAAATGTTGCTTGTAGGTAACCAACAAAATAGCTAAGTGCGGTGTCGATCGAATCAATCACCATAGAAAGAGATACAAAAGGCTTATGGGCATGTGTTGTCCTGAGTTCTGTAGAGGGCTAGTCTCAAATCTATTTTGAGTCACATGCCTATCTCAAATTGGGGTCGAGACGAGATTATGTATTATTATTTTGAATTTTGTTTATTTTTGGCCTTGCGGTGCACAGCATGACTCCTTTTCAAGGGCAGCCCCACCAGGCCTCTTAAATCTAGGCGAGCATCGTCCACTTTGACACCACTAAATAAAAACGTGACGTATTTTTGCAGGGAGGTTGAAGTTAAACGAACTGGACGTCGCATGAGCAAGCTTGGAGGGTCATATAATAGTATCAAATTGAAAGAATCAGTAGATGGCGAGGATAAGGTGCAGCAGGAGCACGATGGACAACTTTGCTGGTTTCCTCATCCTCGTACTGGAATATACTTTCCCAAAGGCCATGAACGGGTGATGGATGATGTTCCAACTGATGCAGCATCCTTCGATCAGACTTACTGGTTCAGGAACAGCGAGGGAGTTGATAGACGAGATCCACCTTAAAATTTATAATTTGCAACAGCGAATTATTAATGTTTTTATGCTTGATTTGTGTAATAAGTTTCTATGAGTCAAATTAGCTATGTTTTGTTTCTTACAACATCTGATAGCCTAAAAATATCATATCAATGTTGGTCTTGGTGCCCAAAAGTATTAAGACGTAACTGTAATTTATAACGTTTATTAATAAATAAGCCAACTAATGGTCATCAAACATGGGCTTATTCATTTTGAGTGTATTATTCATTATATATTAGAGTGAATGATTAAAGGTCATCGATCGCTTTGTAATAACGCAAGTTATTTACTTGGATAAGAAGTGCAAAACATATAACTTGTACCTTGATGGAGAATGGTTTGTTTTAGACCGACTTATAAAGATTGAAATCCAACAACGTCAAATGGTGATTTACGCTACTAATCAAGCTACGTAATTTGACTTGGATGTGGATTTTTCGCTTGAAAGTAATGACACTGACACACCTGGATGTGTATTGAACTCGACTAAGTAATTAATCATACATGATTGTCTTGCAGATTACCTAAATCATTTACAGGATAGTGGCTCTATTCATGATCTCGAGGTTCTTTGATATGCTAAAATTCTACAAAAAAAAATTTTGTTACTCAAATTTCAGTCATAAATGAAAATGGCATTTGAAGCAATTTTGTTGAGAAAGCAGTGAAATGGGGGTGGTTTCCATATATACCAGTGCAAAGCTAATACGTTAAAAATGACGGGAGATAGAAAGAATTGTGCTGCTGATATAGCAGGCGGCCGGAGATGGTGAAGCGAACGGCGGGGCAACCATGTCTGGAAGTGCAGTCAGAGCAGAGACGAAGCCTTTGGTTGAAGTGCGGCCGGAGAACCTGAACCGTCAAGAGGCGAAAATGTCGACGCGCTTGCTGCCGAAGCGACAGGGACACCTTCGGCTGAAGTGAGGCCGGAGATGGTGAGGCGAAGAGAGTACTGAGTGGATTTCAATTTGGGAGAGAGGGATTTCGTGGGTGTAGATTTGAGAGAGAAGCGTCTCTAACAAAAGTCAATTTTTTTTTTCTTTGAATATTGCCACATTAGCCACATTAGCCTGGAAATAACCTGTCATCATCCATGTCCGTGTAGCGGAATCGATATATACTACACCAAACCTCGCCTCATACCATCCTACCTATCATTTAATCCATTTATCTGCCACCTAGATCAACACTCCAACAGTCTCCACCTTCACTCTCCGTCTGCCGCCAGCCCGCCACCACCACCACTACTACCACTGAAAATGCCTCCCAACTTCTTCTTCTTCCCGTGTTCCACCGTCGCTCCGTTTAATTAAATTGAGGTAGAAGTTCGTCGCCGTCACCGCTCCCACCACGCCACTAGAAGTGCCACTCATCTTTTTCTTCTGAGAAATGCTATACATCCCCAGCCTATGTGGCGTTTATGTGGCATTAAATGATAGGTGAAATTAAATAAGTCATTTAATTTCATCTATCATTTAACCAATCATTTACATCCACATAGACTGAAAATGCATTCCCAATGGGGATGAATAGCATTTTTCTTTTCTTCTTCCCCTGCTCCACCGCCACTTTCTTGAATTCATTTTCTTTTTGGGTTCAATTTTGAAATTGATTTATGGGAGATATGCGTGTTTATCTTAGTGGTAGTGGAAGAGGAAAAAATGAGTAAGAGAGTGACCCGCGTTTGTCGGGATGAATGGCTACAGTTTAGAGCAAAGTCAAGCAATTTGCTCTTTATTCTTGATTCCGTTCAACATGGAATTTGATCGGTTTATTCGGTTATTAATTTTGATTAATGGCCCCCAATTTCCTCTTATGCAATGTAATAAATGAGACGGTTGGTTAAGGTGAAGTGAGATGAAGATCATGCCATTGCTAACTATTTTACTCATATGTTGTGGAGGATTTAAGGTGATATCGGCAATTTGGATGGTACCGACAGGAGTGGAGTGGGATGGAGTGAGATCAAGAGTGATTGTGATGTATGATCCATTAATTGTGTGATTTGTGATTTCGAGATTAGAGATTGTTTTAGGGG